TCACATCACTCTGAGAAGCAAGAGCCGAAGACAGAAGCCTGAAGATGATGAATGAGACTTCATCGAAACGTTGCCTAGATACTTCGAATCTTACGCAGGAGAAAACCCGAACAATCAAAGATCCACATACAAAAACCCGAACAATCAAAAACCCGAACAATCAAAGATCCACATACAATATATATATATAATTAAAGCACACATTTGCTTAAATAATTATTCCTGTTGTTTTTCTTGGGCTGAAATATATTTGCCCAGAATAAATTGATCCCCTTTTTGTCAAGAGGAGATCAATCTATTTTCCAAGGCACCGGAAGGCAGGACAAGAAGCAATGGATGGAAACTAACCAAGGAGAGAGAGAAGCAACTTAGAACGAAGGAGAAATTGCCTGACCAGGAGAACAATGAATCAGTAGGATGGCCTACCTCCAGAAGCTGTGGTTGCTCCATCACTGGAGGCTTTCAAAAAGAGACTACGGCTTGGGGGGGCCTGTCTGGGGTGGGGTGGGGTGGGGTGAGGGAGATACAGGGGGTATGGGCTGCAAGAGCGGCTAGCTGGCACATGTACGTAGCCCTTGCACAAATGGTGGGCCTGTGCATGCAAAAGTGCCCGCTGGGCCATCGCCCACACAAATTGTGTGCCCACATGCACGCTCCAACCAGCCGTCATGTGGCCCAATTCCGAATAGGGTTAGAGTCAGTGGTGAAATTAATTTTATTTTACTACCGGTTCTGTGGGCGTGGCTTGGTGGGCATGGCAGGGAAAGACTACTGCAAAATCCCCCTTCCCTCCCCACCCCACTAACCTGCTTTCCAGCTCCGTTCTCCTGTGCAGGGCAACCAAAGAAGACCCAGCCAATCAGCTTGGACTCAACGGGAGGCGGAGAAGAGATGGGGTTGGCGGGGCCACTCAGAGGTGGGATTGGCCGGTTCTCCCAACTACTCAAAATGTCTGCTATCGGTTCTCCAGAACTTTAACCAGAACTTTAACCTTAGACTGTCTACTATTGACCTCACCCATTTCCTAAGAGGTCTGAAGGGGCCATGCATAAGCGCACCAACGTGCCTACCGTCCCTGTCCTATTGTTTCTTTTTCTTTTTATTATTTTTCTTTTTCTTATATGTATCCATTTCGTGAATCCATAACTATGTTTATACTTACACCTGTTATCTTAGAATTGCTTGACAAAATAAATAAATAAAAATAAAATAAAACCGATCAGAAC